GCTAACATATGATAATCAATAGTATGGAATAATAATGTATTATTATATATAAGATATGCAAACTTAAAGCAGGTATTGATTAACTAGCGCTTGTTATATGAATCGCCCATCGCAACCTATCTGGGGTCAATTATCTCATCCCCAACCCTTCAATTAATAACGCTATCAAACGTCAACCACACTCTCAACTGAACCCCTATAACCAGCTTTGAAACGGAAGTCTATTCTAAATTTGAGCCATTATCGACTACTATTTAGCAACTGCTGGGAATTATAACCTTACTCCAAGTAAGGATAACTTTAAGGTATAACTTCAAATATTTGACAATTAATTGTCTTGATAATGCAGGTTTCTAAAATAATTTAATATTTCTTTTGATACATTACTGAGTAGACGTGTGATCCTTTTAAATTATTATCACATCGACTTTTTACGTTTTCGCGATTGTTACACATAGGCAATGAAACTATTTTTCCGGATGTAAATCTCGTTAACAATGTCTTTTCAAACAAACCAACGTTTCGGGCCCTCTACAGGTCCCATGGTCACGGACTGAGGCGGTACAGTCATCAACCAGTTATGTCTAATATTAATGCAAACAACCCTATTTTTTTCACTATAGTTACAAAAGTTATTAATTAAATACCTTACTATCGAGTTCTTAGGTTTTCGTAATTGTTACATATAGAAAATGAAATTATTTTTTGTATATAGTTGACTGTCAGTCAACCTGGGTAGATAACGGACTTCTTTTGCAATAACCTGGGGTTTGTCAAACTTTATTGAATGTGTAGGCTTATCCATGATATACATTATTGTCACAGTTAAAAATTAATTTTATCGTCAGCAATTATCGACCATTGTCCAGCCCTCGAACTATTCTTGCCTGAATATGATTAATTACTATTGAAACACTGGAATTTGAATATCCGAGCATTGACAATTTTGCAATTGTTGTCAGACCACTGGTTTGTAAATAAGCTTTTGTTCCCAAATTGGTTTGTCAACGTCGTCAAGTATCAGCTTTAAATTTCTGTAAAGCATTTTGATGCCTTGAAATCTAATTCGCGTTTCCCCCATTCGTTATAAATCTGATTGATTCATACATGCAAAAAATATTAAAAATACAATCACCAATACTGTTAATTCAATAGTCATATCTGAAAGTAGAAATCAATATTTTGTTAATTCTCGTATATTTGTGGCAATTAAATCTAATGCAAATAACATCTGAAAAGATCTCTAACCTAATTCGTAATTATCGAAGTGAAAATATTTTTCGTCTAACTTTTCCGCCCTCCACCACCATTATTCCTCGTCACGAGCCGAACTTCGAATCATTTATCAATATTTTGTCTTCTTTTAAATTGCAAAATGTATAGTCCAATCGATAACTGATATAATGAACGCTATAAAATTCAATTAATGGAACAGGAAAACCCCTCGTGATTAAATTGACAAAAACTTCCAATACCGAAACGAAATAACTTTGCCCCGTTGATAGTAAAATGTTTACCTCGATTTGCCCGTCATCAGTAATTCAATTAGTGGTTCTATTGTTTTTGTTATACTTTGAAGTGGTTCGAAAGTTAACTTCGTTTTTATTAGTTGTATCTAAATTTAAAATTTTGAAACACAAATTGCACTTATTTGCTTTAGCGTTATATAGCCTTCCACCAAGTCCTCCAAATAACACAATAAGTATCTGTTCTACCAGTTCTAAAAGTTTTATTACCGTTAAGAAATAAAAAATAAGTAAAAAGTGTCATTAGTTATTTATCTCAAGTTTGCAAGCTCAACCTGGTATTTTTTCGTTATAGCCATGTTTTCAAAAGTTAATACTCTGACGCCAGCAATTTACTACTAGAAGTAATTAACCCGACGTAGTCGTAGTAGTTTTCTGCAATCTATTTATGTCTGCAGTATAAAACTTTATTATGAGTGTGGATATTTTCATTCTGTGGATAGAATTTGAAAGCTACTTGCCAGATTTGGTGTTAATCTGGTAAATGCGAAGGCCGGGAATGTTGCAATGTCGCTCGGTGAGAGTCCTCCAGGGATCCGCGATAACACGAGCCCTTTCACGCTTTCACGAGGTTTATTATTTGCAAAACGCTCCTAAGGTGGATAACACACAGTCTGGACACGTGTTATGGGATTTAAAATCACACCTTTGAGAAAAATTTGAATATTTGTGGAACATTTGAACAGAAATTATCATCAATGTTTATGTTTGGTTCAAAAAACTGCAAAAGTATTAGCTTTCTCAAATATGAGTTACGACGAAGAAATGCGATTCGATAAACTACGCTGTATTATAGAATTCTCAAAATCTATTTTAGTTTCATCTAATAATAAAGTCGTTAAATGAAAAAAGCGTTCCCTGAATTTTGTATGTAAGTGATACTAACTTACAACATAGGTTGATATTTGCCATTGTTTAGATTTTTGTCTTAGATTATACTTGAAAACAAGTGACAAAAG